GGGTGGTGGGTGGTGGGTGGTGGGTGGTGGGTGGTGGGTGGTGGGTGGTTGGTGGTTGGTGGTTGGTTGGTGGTTGTTGTTGGTGGTGGTGGTGGTCGTCGTGGTGGCGGTGGTGGTGGTGGTCGTCGTGGTGGCGGTGGTGGTGGTCGTTGTCGTGGTCGTGGTGGCGGCGGCGGTGGTGGTGGAAGCCTTGCTGGCTCGATCGTCTTGTAGGTGCCTTCACCCGGTAGCCTCTACCCCGACAGGCCGACAAGCACTCCAAAGCCGGGAGTAGCTCCAAGGATCTGATTGTGTTCAATTGAGCCCAGTCAAACAGGAGGTGCTTCATCCGAATATATCCGAAGCAATTACTGACCTCAGTTACCCAAGTCAATTTCCTCGGCCACCCCACAGCTGCTGTCCTTCTTCGAGTCCACTCACCCATACCCGCCACTGGCCCCGTCCCAGCTTCCCAGGGGCCATCAAATACTGATTCATGGCACTCCCCTCGTCACATGCCTGACCTGAGATGGAAGCAGCAGGCATCCCGGTGGGTGAACGTGGGGTGCGCGGTGGTCAACTGGTGTACCCCACAAAGAGGATCAAAGAGGGAGGGACACCTCCACAAGCCCCTACTGTAGTGGGACAATTGCATCTCTCCCAGGGTCTATGTTTAGATTCTGGATGTGAGTTACCTGCAGTTTCCAAAAAACAAAAAGGCCATGAATGGAGATCAAAATTAAAAACATTATATACATATTGATCATATTGAGAATTAGCAGATATTATAAGTAAGTAGCATATGGCTGGATATGTCAAGGGGGCCCTTCCCTCCTCTCTCTCTCTCTCTCTCAGTCTCTCTCGTCCTCTGAGCCGCCCAAACGGAGCTGTCGGACTTCCATGCGGAGACGCTGGAGTTCCGCGCTCTGCAGGCGAAGCTGCTGTTGGGCCAGCGCCAAAGCATGCACATCCCTCGGACCAACCCGAGCATTTGGGTGCGAAACGGTCGAGGGAGGGCCGTCCAAAGGCCCCCAAAACGTCCAGGATTTGGGCCGTGCGGCCTTCTTGGACCCAACGATCCGGTGGACAAGCCCATTTGGGGGGAATTGCTTCGTCATGGAGCCTGTCAATAGTGATAGAAAAAACATAGAAATCTCACATGATGGAGAGAACCACATCACAGAGCTTCGCTTCAGCGAGGGACGCGTATCCAAGACCCACCACCGGACTTGCTAGACTGCTAGACCTTCAAGAAAAGTAAAATATGTGTGTATATATATATACACACTGAAGAAAAAAATATATATATATATATACATACCTATATATATATATAAGTGTGCATATATACATTTATATTCGATGAATCTCGATCAACATGCGTCGACTGCTGCTATCCTTTTCCGCGAATCGATTCAGGTCTGTACTGTCTGTACTGAAGTGCTTTGGTTTGAAATGCGACCCACGTCGCTTGTGTCATCTGACATCTGACACTCTCCCTGTGGGAGCACTCCATCCGTATTTAGTGACCGAGAGGATACCGCAGGGGCGGTCCTACGGCCACCACGGATGCCAGCTCTGGACAGAGCAGAAATGAAAAGTTTAAATCTATATTCCCAGTCATCATCAATACCTGGGACCGGCAGAACAGGTATAATGGCTGGGCGGCAGTCAGCCGAGATGGACAACCGGACGGCAGCGGCAGACAGCTCAGTCCTAGTCTCTCAGGGCCGTCAGCCGAGGCGTTAGCGTAGCAAGCATAGCCATGGTAACTGAAACGTAACCAAAATACGGCCCTCAAGCACCACCAAGGCCAGAGGTGAGATAGCGATCACCGAAAATCAGACTCCTCCGGCGACATGCCAAGTCAGCCACCAGCTCGACTAGCGCCAGGTGGACATGGACAGAATAAACAGGGTGTGGCAGGGTGGGAGAAAAAGTTTAACTTGAGGTTCCAGCAGCGACACTGCTCCTCAAGGGGCGTCTCCCCAGTTTGGCTTGAGCATTCAAACATTGGGAGACGTTAATCCGAAGCTTCCCAAATAATTCATCATCACCGACCCTGCCTACCTTAAATGATTGAATATATTCGATGAATCTCGATCAACATGCGTCGACTGCTGCTATCCTT